AATAGATATTACATATATATTTAATTAATGAAACATAAATGTTGATTAATTTTATTTAAGTAGGATAGTAGATTTCGATGTTAGTTTACATCGGAAACGACCAATCAGACTTATTCCCGCCATTTCCTGGACTTGTTTATTAGCACTATGTTTGACGCATTATTGTGATCGTTTTTTTCATAGTTTTTGTGTTCTTTGTGACAGTATATATATTTTTTGCGAGTACTCGGGTAATAGTTTCATTTAATTATTAGTAAACAATGCGAGGAAGTTAAATATCGACGTTTCTGTCATAAAGTGAAATTGACATTTCATGTAACATATTTAAGTGATCATTTTGTCGGAGAAACATAAGTTCATTGCATCTTTGAACGAAGAAGTCTTCGTTATATTGTGAAAAATGAATACTCCAACGACTAGAGATTTTTTGCGGAGGCCAGACGGACCACGTAGAAGATCTTCTCGCCAAGCTTTAGCAGTGATTCCTGTCAACAATTCCTCATCGCCTGGTGCGTTTCGAACATTTTACGAATCATCGACTACCTGTTGCCAATTTTTTCTGTTTTTAATCTCAGTTCACTGTGTTTTAGGAGAAACTATTGCCACAGAAGTTAATGCAATGGACAATCTTTTAAACAGTCGACATGGTTCTGATTCTTGGAGCCCTGCACCTAGCCCTGATGAGTTGGTGATCCAAAAACGGGGACGTCGTCGTAGAACTATAGTTTGGTCCCCAGATGTTGATACTTGTAAAAGAAATAGCCTGTTTAGGTAAGAGAACCTTCTATATTTGTTCTTTCCCAGAAACATTTGTCCAGAAATATAATTGAATCTATTGCAGCTTAAGTTCCAAGGACCGTACTCCGGTGAAGAGTCCATCAAAATCAACTATGGTGTTAAGAAGTACACCTAGGAAAAGGCTTGCTCTTGGGGACAATAACGAGTCTCAATTTACAACACCAGAGAAAAAGAAAAAGTCACAGAACTCATTAGATGCTAATAATGCACAGAAATATTTCACTGGTAATTTATTGAGTGGTTTGAGAGGTCTCAGTCATGATCAGTTAGTGCAGATGATTATGGATTTGGTATCTATGCAAGAGGATGGTCTTTTGAGGGAGGATGAAAAAATATGTAATGTTTTATTAAAAAAAATGCCAGTGGCTGATGTACAACCACTGATTGATACATTAAATAATTTAAAGCAAAATATTCAGGCTGGTATTATGTCATCTAATAACTCAGCTGACAATTGTAGTCACATTCATTTAGATGCCTTTCAGGTATGGTGATTCTTTTATTTTTTTCATATACTTCCTATTTTAAATTTCATTATTTCTGTTTGGGATTCATGTTTATTTTGTGCAGAAAACTGTCATAGATCAAGGAAAAAGACTTGTAGAGTCACAGCATTGGATATCAGTAATGCATTATGTGTATGCAGCATGGAACATTACAAAGCAATTATACGAATGGGAAAATCAACGTCTACGTGAGTTGACGTGTAAATGTTTTAAAAATTTGACGCATTTTTGTTCTCAAGCCTTGAAAAAGGGAAATTTCTCGAGTACCGTGTTGGATATGTTTGCTGACAGGTAACAGAGAAAGAAAAGAAAATCTGATGGGTGTTTTTTAATAAAAATAATATCACAGTGTTTTATTGAATGGTTTACAGGCTCGATGCGATGGTCGTTGATTGCGAGGATCTAAAAGTTTGCTTGCAGTTGATAAACGAAGTGAAAAAGAACGGAATCTAGATATTTCTGTATATCGATGATATCAAAGAGGCCATACGTATTATAATCATTATTTCCATATACATATATATTTTTAATATATGCATACATTTTAATTCTGATTGTGATGTATAGACTCCGCGAACGGTTTTAACAGTTACCACTGTTAAATTAACTATATATATTTTTTTTACTGTATTTTTATAACAACTTCAATCACATACTGAGATTCACATAGAACGGTATTAATCCGATAAGTTTAAGTGTATTTAAGATATACGAATGATATTTTTATATTAGGGTTATATTAGTCGTTTTTCGAGATACTTGACGTTTTATAAACTTCACGATTTATACTTAATGTTACAATTATTGATAAACAGTTGCTTGAAAAGTATGCTTCGTTATATCAGTACAAAGTAACTTATTTCAGACGCGCGTATAGTTAGGGTCTTTCGTTATTTAAATGATCTACTTACGATAGCCGCATTTCCTTTTAAGATATTTATATTGTTTTAACGTTTTTAATATACCTCGTGTGTATTTTGTTGAAAATACTGGGACGATACTTACCCTTGGTATTATTGTTCCTCCCTCTGTATCATTCTTTCATGACAATAAACGTACATATGTAAACCGATTTTCTATTAAAAACAATTTATTCGTCATAATATATCATGCATTCTTACATAATATATCCATTATTACTTCTGAAAGGCACATACTTCATTTACGTGAGTGTTGCGTACTTTTTCTTATGCGTTGTAAATGTGTCTCTGTGTGTTTGTGTGTGTGTCTGTGGACATCAGAAACGTTCTGAGAGCCATGTAAAATCCCTTTTCACCCTGTTCCTGTACATATTATTTCTTTTTCCTTTCTCTTTTTAAACAGTACTACAACGATGCGCTCAGAACCCTTCTGATCGGACCGTTTAAATTTCTCTTAGGCAATTAATTAATTATACAAGTGTCTAGTCAAGTGTTAAATCGATTAATTAAAGATTCTCGAATCACACCGATGGATACTACTGCTCCTCCACGACGAAACACGTCGAGGTGGGGGAGGAGGGGCGTGGTCGAGTGTGTGTATGTATGGTGCGTGTGCGTGTGTGAGTGTACCTCCATCAAGATTCTTCCAATCTCTCTCTCTCTCTCTTATTCGCGCGCGCGCGTTACAATTCTTCTTTCTTCCTTTCGTCTCTTACAACGAGTCTTTTAAAAAGTGCGTGTGTATTGGCAAGATTACATTATACACCATCCATAGGAACATTTTCGAAATCCGAAATCGACACTGTCGGATTTGGAAAATTCCAAAACGCTGACGAATAAAACGTTAAGAAAACGGGGGGAGGGGGCGCCGTAACGATAATCTGACATCATCCTAAATTTGCAGCATTTAGGTGAAACAAATCGAAAAAAAAAGCGTCATTTAAGTACCGCTAACGCTGTTCTCGCGACGAACGCAATAACGCATAAAATAAAAGTCTCCCTTTCGAGGGGGGCGGAGGGAGAGAGGAGGGGTTCGAGGATCATTTAAAAAGTTTCATGATTTCTTCTCGACGAGTGGAGGAGATAATAGAAACGTTCTTCTCGTGCTTAATGAAAAAAGAAGAATAGCTTTGCTTTACAATTTTACCGATGGCTATGATTAAAATCATTCAAATAGCCGTCTTAAACGATAAAAGGTTTCTTTTTGATATTCAGTCGAATACGAATAAGAGGCGGATCAATTCTCCACCGAGGTATTTTTAACAGAGCGCGACGGACGAGGATAAATTCTAAGGAGGGAAATTTTTTAAGTGATCTTCACCGCGGCGCCAGTGCTCGAGTGATGGATATTAAAAACAAAAACGTTCCAGCTGTGTGTGGAATTGCGTCAGGCTAAAAGCGGAATCACGGGCAAAGAGACTGAAATTTCAGTTATTTTTTTCTCTTCTTCTTCTTCTTCTTCTTTTTGTACTGTGTCTGGTCAAAGGAACAACTGGCTAACAAAAAAGCGTTTGTTTTTTTTTCTTTTTCTTCTTTTCTCCCATCGATTATTATATCGTTTTGCCTCCTTTTTTCTCGTTTAAATAACAAAAAAGAAAGAAAAAGAAACAGATCATAGCCTGGAAAGGTAAGAGAAGCACAACGAAACTTCTCGCGCGCGTTACATCTCACATTTCATGTTTCGTTTTCTCCGGTTCCCCTGCTACTTAATTTACCAAACTGTAATTGTTCGTGAAGTCGCGTGAACGATCAGCGACCATCACCCATGATCCGGGCTTTGTTAGGCGGTGTGTGTTTCCTTGTGTTTCGCATTACAATTAAGGGAGAAAAGGAGAGAGAGAAGAAAAACTAAAAGAAAGAAAGGAAGAAAGAAGGAAAAAGGAACGAAGAGGAAAGGAAACATAAAAAACTATATAGAACGTTCTCTGTTCGGTTCGTTCGGATGACAATGGGACGCGATTTAAATTAAGATAACGATCGACGATGCAACTATGATACTTAACGAGATAAAGCTGCGAATCGAATACTGTGGTAATGAATCATCGGATATTACGAGTTCGCCGGACGAGACGCGTGCTTCAGTCCACCTTCGCCGGTTGCACTCTTGGATACAGCTGAAACAAACAAACGAACGATAGATAAAACAAAGGTGAGAGGAGACGTTTTTTAGGTAACGTGTTAAGGGATAGTTGGATGAAATTTTTTCAAAACTTTTCTTTCTACAGTAATCGTAAGGATCGCGAAGGGACGGGATGATCGGTTGTGCCTGAATATTCTCCACTGGTTCAGCAAACTTACGCCAAGTAAATTCCGAGGTACGTAGCCTTCCTTGTGTCCCAGTTTGCTCCACCACCACTCCCTCTCGTTGTCGTCACCTTTTCGAAGAACAACCAAAGAATCGCCGTTCTTCAGGGTGAGTTCGTCACTGTGTTGCGCCTCGTAGTCGAACACCGCGTACACCTGTCCATTGTTCATGATGCCAAGCTTCTCTTGGACACCTACGATGCAACGTAAAAATCTGAATTTCTCGAGAGAAAAAGAAAGAGGAGAGAAAGAAGAAAAGAAGAGAGAAATTTTGAAGAAAAATTCAACAATTCTCCTACTGACTGTATAAATATTCTGAGCAACCATCGAAACCTTCCTCGTCCTCTTCGCACTTCTCCGCGGCAGTTTCGTGATCAGAGAGAGTGGTGGCGAATATGCAAGCTCCGTGTTCCACTAGGAATCTCACCATCGATAGATTATTGCAACTGGCGGCGCAGTGCAACGGTGTCCTACGATAGAAAATCAACGTTTTTCCTACAATTCGTCCGATGTTTCTCCGAAGAAGACACGATTAAAAGAGCGTTTAATCTCTCTTACCATCCGTCGCTATCCTGAGCGTTCACGTCGCAGCCAAACTCGACGAGAAACTTGACAATCTCCAAGTGACCAGCGCAGATTGCGTTATGAAGAGCAGTGATACCCTCGTCGTTCGCTGAACTCGGATTCGCCACCTCTTTAGCTGTCTTCTTCACCAATTCCAATTCACCTTCGAGGCTAGCGTCCAACAGTAGAGCAAGAGGATCGAAAGAAACTCGTCTGGATAGATTAGCCTTTCCTGTACTGCTCTTCAAGTTCCCTTTTTTCCTCCTCATTACCTCGTTGTTCTTTCCATCCGCCTCTAATTCACCCCTTCTCTCCGATTCTTTCGCTTTCGCCTTGTCCTCGATATTAATCACGTTCAACGCGTCGATTATATCCGCTTCCTCTAATTTCTCATTGCTAATCACGTCCTCGTTTATGATCTTCTTACAGTTGTCCGTTGTGTCGATGATCTGCGGCTGTTGTTGTTGAGATTGCGTTTGTTGTTGCTGTTCCGTTTGCATCAGGTCAGCTGGTATCTCCGTCTCGGGGAATAGAAAAGCAGGTGGCATCTCAATCCGCCGGTTTATCGACACGTGGACATTAGATTTGGCGTAACGGAGTTTCGGCTGTTCGGAGATTGGAGCTTTCTTCAGTGTCAGAGGTCTAGCTTTGATGATCTGATGATTTCCGAACTGCGTTTCCGTGGGTGACTCTGGAGGTTCTGACGTTGGAATCGGTGGCGCGTCCTCTTCTTTCTCTGCTCTGTGGGGAGAGGATTGAACGGTAACCGTTAGTCGGAGAAGAATGCGGATTAATTGGAAGGGCAGAAGTAATTCTGGGATTTTGATGTTACTTGTTACAACTGCTACAACACACTTTGGAGAAAGTGTCTGAATGGACGAAGATTCGAAAATGTTTGTAGAAGTTTTGGTGGATGTTAAGTGTATGACGAAGAGTTGGAATTAAAAGCGCGCGATTTTGAAAGTAGTTGTTGGAGGGAACGATCGGGAAACAGGAAGCTAGATCTCGCCTCGATCGATCGGAGAGCTCGCGAGCACTAAACTGTTGTCTCAACTGAGCGGTAGTAGTTCTATTTCGGGTGTCTATTATTCGAGACAGGCTTCGATTCACCGGCCAATTCGATCACGGACTAATTAACATTTATAATTAACCCGGTAATTCGTTTTTCCGTTTCGTTCCGTGGCCCGAAATCGCGACTCGACTCTGTCCCTTTCCCTTGGAGCAACAACTTTCCCAACAAATTTCCAATCTCTATATATTTCTCACTTTTCGAACTTTCGAATCTTCAAATTTACAAAATTTCCAATTTTTAAACATTCAACTTTCCGAATATTAAAATTTTTCAATTTCCAACTTCTCCAACTTCCAAATGACCAGCTTTTCCAACTTTCATATTTTCAAATTTACTAAATTTCAAATTTTCAAATATTCAACGTTTGCAATGACAATTTTTGAATTTCCAACTTTTCGAACTTCCGAATGATCAACTTTTCACAAACTTTCAAATATCCGAAATTTCAAACATTTCAACTTGCAAACGTAGCAATATCAGCTATAAAATACTCAGCGAAATACCTTGCACCGATCCCCAAATTGTTCTTGCAGTCCCCGATTCCATCGTTAGCGTTGTCCACCTTCTCGTGATGAGTCAATCGCGGCGGTGGATTAGGCTTGCTCGGTTTCGGAGGGAGAGCCGGCTTCGTTTTGTCCTCTCCCAGGCTCTTTCTCTCGTTCTCGTTCTTCACCCTGTCGAACTCGAACGGTTTCTCAGCGGTCTTCGCCGGGATCTCGAACTTTCCATTATGTTCGTGCTTCGTCACGGAACTCTGCTCGAACTTATTCTGATTATTCTCGAACTTCACTTGTTCCTGCTTGAATTGTTGTCCTCCGTTGTCGTACTTATTCGTCCCGTCGTGTTTGAATCCCGCGTTGTGATCGTACTTCGCGCACGGTCTCACCTCGTGCTGATCATGCTTACCGTACTGCTGTGTATTCTGATTAGGATCGTATTTGTTCCCGTGAATTTGATCGTGCTTATTCTGACTTGTCTCGTACTTTCCCTGCTCTATCTTCGACACGTTGTCATACTTGTTACTCTGATTTACCACACTCTGTTCGTGCTTGTTCGACTGTTCGTATTTTCCATGCTGATCGTACTTGGAATGCTCGTATTTCATCTGATGAGGATCGTACTTGAACACCTGATTAGCCTCGTACCTCTGCTGTTCGTGCTTAACTGGCAACGTGTGGTCGAACTTCTCTTGATTTTTCCCCTGCTCGAACTTCATCTTCTCGGATTGTTCGCTGCTGGACGTTGGACTGGTCAACGGCTGATTCTGACCGTACCTCTGTACCGAATTTCCAAAGCTGCTCCCGCTGGACGAGGTGTGAATGGTAGATGGAGGATTAGGTGAATTCTGCGTTTGATAGACGGAAGAAGACGACACGTGGGTGTTCGACTGCGCGGAGTGTTGCATTCCAGGATAATTGTGCCTTGAAGAACTGTACGTCTGATCTTGGTTCGACGTTTGATTACAGGGGATAGATTGGTTCGATTGTTGATTAGAATTTTGACTGGTCAAACCGACGAAATTCTGACCGTTGTTGTGTCCACGACCTATCAGGCTCAACGTCTGCGGCATCACAGGGTGAATCTTCGTGGACGATGTCTGATAGATCTGAGACTTGACGGAGAAACTTGGCGCAACGCTCGACACTGGTTTCTGATGAGTCTGGAGGTTTCTGTGGTTCTGCGTTTGTGTAATAGACACTGTTGTCGTGCCAAGATTAGACGCCGACGAGCCTACGTTGTGCTGTTTCTGTTGAACGTTCCCGTGTTGCTGTTGTTGCGTTTGAGACTGCTGTTGATGATGGATTCGAAGGTTCTGAGATAAACCTTCCGGGCTGAAGTTGTGTGACGAGCTGATCAGATTGTTGTTGTTCGTACTGTTGCTGTTGTTGTTGTTGTTGTTGTTATTATTGTTGTTGTTGTTGCAGGTTTGCTGAAGGTTCACAGGCTGATTGGAAACGTTCTGATTGTGCTGCTGTTGCTGCTGCTGTTGATTCGTACCCAGCAATTGAGATTGACCTACAACAAAATTCGTCGAATCCTTCAGTTTCAACTTGAACAACCCGCCGAGTGTTCCTAGATCGCAGTCGACTAGAAAAACAGCGAAGAGGAAAGTGAGTTGAAATGTTTGAAATTACCAACCTTGTATATGCGACTGCGACTGGCTATGAGCTATTTGATGACCAAATTGTTGAAACGCCGCCCTCTGACCCAGCTGCGAAGCACTGGCAGAGTGTTGAATCTTATTCTTATTAACATCGTCCTCGGCAGCCTTGAAATTCACCGTGAATTTAGTATTGTACGGCAGTGTCTGATACTTAGGGTCGTTCTTATTCAAATTGAAGTCGTTGTCGTTCGGTATGTGAGAGTAAGGCTCGATCGCTGCTATATTCCCAGCCGGTCTCGACTTTCCACCAGCGTTGAAGTCCAATTTCGACTCGGCGAAGCCGGTGTTCACGTTCGTACGGTTACCAGAGCCTAACTGCTGGCTCAATCGTTGGTTCAAGGCCCTCTTACGCTGAAGACGACCCTGTAGCTGTGCTATCCTGGCGTCGATCGACGCCATCTCCGCTTGTCGCTGCGCCAGGGCCAATCGTTGCTGAGACACCACCTGGTTCTGTTGCTCGTTCATCTTGTTACGGTACTGTCGATAGTAAAACGAAAGTAATTGGTCTCGATTTCTCGACGAATCAACGTTCCAACGAATTATTCGCCGGCCGTGAAGAAACGTGGCTCGATAAAGTTCGCCACGGCGGAAACCTACTCTCCTCTGCTTCATCGCTGCTTCAACTAGGCTAACTAGACTCTGTCATCTTCCACGTTCGAATTCTGCTTTAATACGCGTCCTCTACAAATTTTCTACAGACTTTAAAACAGTAACTGTGTTCTCGCGTTAAGTCCTTCCTTTCCGATTAAATCTATCTACAGTGTTCTTTGTTTCTCTTCTTCTCAATGGTTTTCTTCCTCTGCGAATGCACGTATACTCATTTTACTCGTGGTTTTTAAAAGCAGCTCTTCCCTTATCCGCCTCTTTCATTTCATATTTTACAAAGCTACAATTTTCATACGCACTCGCTAATCGAAAGTTTCCAAGCATTCAGGTACCGCGCTTCGGGAATTCTTCGGAAAGAGAAGCGCGTAGAAGTTTAAACTCGAACGAAAGCAAAATGAAGTTAAGTTGAAATTTTCTAAACTTTCGCTGCTAAACGCTAGATTGCTGTAGAAACGTTAACAAGGCAAGACTCGTAAAGTTTCTCCGAAGAATAGATTTTCATTGAAAACACCGCCCTTCTTCTGTCGGAGAGGGTGAAACTGTCGGGTTAGAAAAAGAGGCGCTACTGCGATGGCTCACCATGAGCTCCCTCCTGAGCTTTTCCAGTTCAGCGCTGGCTGGCGTCGACAAGTGTCCGCCGCCGGCGCCGCCAACGCCTCCACCACCGACGCCACCGGCGCCACCGCCTCCACTTCCGGTCCCAGCACCGTTCTGCCTGCCCCTGAGCTCCTCGAGTTGTCGCGTTAGCTCCTCGACCTTCGCCACCGCCAAAGAGAGCTCCTTCTCTTTCTCGTTGAACAACGCCCTTATGCAGTCCAGGTCCGAGGCTACGTGAATGGGGAAAAAGAGCAAACTTCAGAACGAACACAACGTTGGCAGATTTTTCCTTATTTATGAAGCGCACCAGAGTAGCGAGGAACTGTGGGGTGGGAGAAGGCGCCTCTCCTTGGTGGACGAGGCAGCCAGCGAGGAGAATTCGTGTCGGAGAAAGGGTGGCAAAGTGACGGTGAAAATTCTGAGTCTCTTCGTGGAAAAACTCTCTCCTTTTCGCGAATATTTTTCCATGGGAGAAACGGGGAGACACAGAGCTACGAGGAAGATATAAGTTCCTCCCCTTTCCTCCGTGAGACGTTTGAAGTTTGAACCGGAAACTGATTCGATATCCCTACAAAAGACGCGAGAATAGAGAGGATCGTTTGACCTGGGCAAAGCGATAGTTCACGCGAATGAAACTTTCTTTTAATTATTTCCCTGGGCTTCTTTCATCTTAACTCTCTGCCCGCGCTCCCTCGATTATTCGCTAGCAACCCTCCTCCTTCTTTTCCCTCCTCATCCCGTTTTAATCTCTCTTCTTACGCGAGACGAAGAAGCGCGGGAGAGAATGTACCGGTGGAAACAAGAGACGATTCGAGATAACGATAAACAGGCCGCGCGCCGATCCTTAAGAAACGTAGGAAGAGATCTTTTTCGTTCCACTTTTTTTACCGTCGAATATGACGTTTCGAGAGGTTCTTTGCTTCGTGCTAAGAGCTTAAACAATTCTGCGACTAATTGTAACGCGTTGCCCCCCCCCCGGTCTCGTCCCTCGTAAATCATTCTCCTTTAATTGGCTCTCTCCTTTTTCCAACTTTCCAACACGCTTTGCTTCGTCGCTTTCTTACTGTGTAGTATTCAGAGATGTATAATAGAATTATATCGGGGCGGTAGGATGAATTTGGGTCTTCTGCACTGGTAGTCGCGTTGCAGAAGCTTTGAAACGTAGACCCTTGAGAATTTCATTACCGTCACACTTCGGAAAATCGGAAAGACACCAAACAACTTTCAGGGAAAGTGACCACCACGTGAGAGCAAGTCTGGACAATTAGGAATTCGAAGAGAATCGAAAAAAACCGAGATATAGGAGAGAACAGAAGACTCCGCAGAAAGAGCTCTGCGGTCACCCATCTTTGTTAACATCGCGAGGAGCGGAGCTGCACTTGGAAGAGCGCCTGTCCTAGGGCCAGTGTTCCACACCACTTTGCCGTTGCTTTCAAATTTTCTTCGGCGATTCATATAAAGAAATGTACGACACTCTTCACCGATTCTAAGTCTGAACTTAGGATCGATTTTAAAAAAAAGTTTCGTTCATTGTTAAAACATTCTTTTACTGTCCGTTTACAACTTCACTGTCCACAACAACCCGGAAGCTTCCTTCTCACTAAAAACATTCCCCCGATCGAAAATCTCCCTATTCCCTCCAATTATCGATCTCACGAACGATCGCAGTCCCGCATTTTTTCAGCTCGATTCGCTGGGAAACGTCGTGAACGAGAACCTCGACTCTCTCGAAACCGATAGAACAAGAGGAGAATTGGCTGTGGAGGTAGGCGAAAGGCACGTAGCCCTGGTTGTTCGCGAGGCCTCGCCTCGTGGGGAGGAAGATTTTCGCGAGGAACGTGATTCGACTGGTCTCTGACTGTGTCTCATTTCCTTAGACGCCATAGTGACGCTTATTGCGACTCTCTCTCTCCTCGTCGGACATGCTAAGCACGGGAATTTTAAGCGTTCTCCTTGGAAAGGACCGCTTCCGTCTGACGTAATTAGAAAA